AAAAAAAAAAAAAAAAAAGAAGTATATGGATGGCAAATAAGCACATGAAAAGATACTCAGCATCATTAAGAGGCAAATTAAAACTACAGTGAATACCACTACACACCTAATAGAATGTCTATTAAAAAGACTGACTAGAAGACATTAAAAGACATTGAAGAAAACACAAATAAATGGAAAGATATTTTGTGCTCATGGATTGGAAGAATTAATATTGTTAAAATGTTCATACTACCCAAAGCAATCTACAGATTCAGTGCAATCCTTATCAAAATTCCAATGGCATTTTTTCACAGAAATAGAACAAACACCCTAAAATTTGCATGGAATTTTGACCACAAAAGACCCTGAGTAGCCAAAGCAATCTTGAGAAAGGACAAAGCTGGAGGCATCACACTCCCTGATTTCAAACTCTATTATACAGCTATAGTAACTAAGTATGGTATTGGCATAAAAACAGACATATAGATCAGTGGAACAGAACAGAGAGCCCAGAATAAAACCCACGCATATATGGTCAATTTACAACAAAAGCCAAGAATATACAATGGGGAAGGGACAGTCTCTTCAATAAATGGAGTTGGGAAAACTGGACAGCCACTTGCAAAAGAATAAAACTGGACCACTATCTTACGCCATACACAAAAACTAACTAAAAATGGGTGAAAGACTTAAACATAAGACCTGAAACCATAAAACTAGAAGAAAACATAGGCGGTAAGCTCCTTGACATAGGTCTTGGCAATGATTTTTTTAATTTGACACCAAAAGTAAAAGCAACAAAAGCAAAAATAAACAAGTTAGGACTATATCAAACTAAAAAGCTTCTGCACAGCAAAGGAAACCATCAACAAAATGAAAGGCAATCTACTGAGGGAGAAAATAAATGCAAATCATGTATCTCATAAGAGGTTAATACTCAAAATATATAAAGTACTCATACAATTCAATAGCAAAAAAACAAATAGATCTGAATACATTTATTCAGATCTGATTAGAAGACATGCAGATGGCCAACAGGTACATGAAAAGATGCTCAATATCACTAATCATGAGGGAAATGCAAATCAAAACCACAATGAGCTATCACCTCACACCTGTTAGAATGGCTTTTATCAAAAGACAAGAAATAACATGTATTGATGAGCATGTGGAAAAAAGGGAACTCTTGTGTACTGTTGGTGGGAATGTAAATTGGTGCAGCCACTATGGAAAACAGTATGGAGTTTCCTCAAAAAATTAAAAATAGAGATACCATATGATTCAGCAATTCCACTTCTGAGTATTTATCTGAAAAAAACAAAAACACTAACTTGAAAAGATACATGCACCCCCACGTTCATTGCAGCACTATTTACAATAGCCAAGATGTGGAAACAACCTAAGGTGTCCATCAGTGGATGAATGGATAAAGAAGATGTGGTATATACATACAATGGAATATTATTCAGCCATAAGAAGAATGAAATCTTGCCATTTGCGACAACATGAATGGACCTCAAGGGTATTATGCTAAGTGAAATAAGTCAGACAGAGAAAGACAAATACCATATAATCTCTCTCCTACGCGGAATCTAAAAAAAAGCCAAGCTCATAGATACAGAGAACAGATTGGTGGCTGCCAGAGGCAGGAGGTGGGTGTGAGAAATGGGTGAAGGGAGTCAAAAGGTTAAAAAAAAGGCAACAGGGAACAAAATAACATCCTGGAGATTTGGGGAGGTAGGAAAACTATGAAGGGGACATAGTTCAGGAGGGAGTAGCTAGGAGAGTGGATGACAAAGATTATCAGAGTTTGCTCAGTTAGTGGGATCTGTGAGGGTACAGAGGAAGATGTAAACTTGGGGAGTTGGGGGGAAGGCGACTGCTCTGGTTGAGTGAAAGCTGGGAAGGGACATTTGGGAAAATAGCCCAATATCCCAATAGAATCCAGACCCTGGAGGAGGGTGTGTGAGTTCCTCTTTAGCCTCATCCATGGGTTCTTATGCTGAATCTTTCACCTCCCTGATCTCAAAAAAAAGGCTGTCTGTACCAAAGATTGGTGAGGATCTGGAGCAACTGCAATTCTCATACACTGCCAGTGGCAATGTAAAATGATACAACCACTTTGGATAACATTTTGGCAGCTTCTTAAAAAGTTAAACATACACCTACCATCCTTCTACTCCTAGGTATTTACCCACGAGAAATGAAAGCATATGTTCATACAAAGACTTGTACATGAAGGTTCCTAACAGCTTTATTTATAATAGCCAAAAACTGAAAGCAAATCAAATGTGTATCAACAGATAAGTGGATAAACAGATTGTGCTATATCCATACAATAAAATACTACACAGTAATAAAAAAGGGATGAACTACTGATACACATGCAACCTAGATGAATCTCAAAATAATTATGCTGAGTGAAAAGAGCCAGACAAGAGTAAATACTGTTTGGTTCCGTTATATAAAACTCTAGAAAATACAAACTAATCAACAGTGACAGAAAGCAGATGGGTGTTTGCCTGGGGCTGGCATAGACGATGGGAGTCAGGGAGGACAGGTAGGCAGGAGGGAGGGATTACCAGAGGCAAGAGGAAGCTCTGGTGGGAGGGGCAGTGATGGAGATGTTCATTATCTTGATTGTGGTGATGGTTTCATAGTTGCATATGTATGTAAAAACTTATCAAACCATACACTTTAAATATGTGTGGTTTATTGTATATCAGTTATACTCTTAAAGTGGTTAAACTTTCTTTAGCAGAAACTTAAAAGTTTTGGATTCCTTTTCATTGTAATCCAAAAAACTGACTCACAGAGCTATTCTTTTATCTCTAAAATAAAAAATTCTTTTTTTTTCATAATTTTATTTATTTATTTATTTTTCTCCCAAAGCCCCAGTAGATAGTTGTCTGTCATAGTTGCACATCCTTCTAGTTGCTGTATGTGGGACGCGGCCTCAGCATGGCCAGAGAAGCAGTGCGTCGGTGCGCGCCCGGGATCCGAACCGGGGCCGCCAGCATCGGAGTGCGAGCACTTAACCGCTAAGCCACGGGGCTGGCCCAAAAAAAATAAAAAATTCGTTAAGAAATCTTTTGCTCTTCTTTCTTTAATCTGAGGTTAGCAAATAAAAAATTCAATCTGAGGACTTAAAAGGGTTATTACTTTGATCTTGAAAGCCATTGAAGGAATTAAAAATGTGCCGTGAGGGGCCGGCCCCGTGGCTTAGCGGTTAAGTGCGTGTGCTCCGCTGCTGGCGGCCCGGGTTCGGATCCCAGGCGCGCACCAACACACCGCTTCTCTGGCCATGCTGAGGCCGCGTCCCACATACAGCAACTAAAAGGATGTGCAGCTATGACATACAACTATGTACTGGGGCTTTGGGGGAAAAATAAATAAATAAAATCTTTAAAAAAAAAAAAAAATGTGCCGTGAAGTCTAAAATGGAAAACAGAAGTGAAAAGGAATTCCATGTTGCTTCAGTAAAATGTCATGAGATATGTGAAGCTAAGAGTGGAACTCCACGCTCCAGGGTGTAGTGAGGAGATGCAAAGGAATAGAATGGAAAAAGCCCTATGCTAACGGTTGATGAAGATGGATTTTAGTCTTTTCCACTTCTAGACATATCCTTTCAAAAATCTTTTAAATTCTCTTCACCTTGGTTCCATCTGTTAAATTGAGGTAATAATATCTGTACTCCGTACCTTAAATAATGTATGCAGTCAGAGGAGTAGGACCATTGACTTGATATTGTCCCCATTAATTTATGTATATAAGAGAGAAAGAACAAAATAGTTGCTATTTCTGCAGCAAATTTGTTTTCCCATTGTTTCCTCTAGGCTATTTCACTACAGACATGTAAGTATATGTGAAACATTAGAAGATTGATGGCCGTTCTTAACATTGTTATTTAATGGGAATGTGTCTGTCATTTTTCTTCTATAATTGCTTTGAGAATTAAGGAAACTGCTGAGGGCACTTGTGAATACCCTTTCCTGATAATTAATCCTAGATGTCATTTTTAGAAATACAGTTTTTAATTTTTAATGTGTTTTTTGCAAATAAAAATTGGACCATAGGTCAGAACATGAAATACATTGAGCTGAGCCTTTTTTTATAACTGGCAGTCATTTATGCAAGTGGGAATATTTATCAAACCTGAAATTCATCACCAAGCACGTGAGTGCTTTACTTTAGATAGAATCAAATATATCTGTACATTCATTTTATATGGAAAGAAGGTAGTGAAGATTTGGGGCTAATAAGTATTTATATTCACTAACAGATGTTTAATTATTTGCAAAGCTATTTCATAATATTAGACTGGAGAAAAGCTGAAACATCATTATAATCTGCCCATCTGTTCTCAGTGCAATCTAACTAGGATCTGGTCATAGCATCTCTTGATTCACCTACGGTACAACTCAGTTTAAGAGAATATTGGGGGCCGGCTCCGTGGCTTAGCGGTTAAGTGCGCGCGCTCTGATGCTGGCGGCCCGGGTTCGGATCCCGGGCGCGCCCCGAGGCACCACTTCTCCATCCAACGCGAGGCCGAGTCCCACGTACAGCAACTAGAAGGATGTGAACCTATGACATGC